AAAAAAAAAAAAGGATTAAAGAGGTGAAAAACGTAGAAGAGTCACTCTGTGTTTCATCACGCCAAGCAACTAGTAGATTTTCAGTTCTCTTGGAAACACATTAAGTCATCGTGTAAACACGGCTTTTTAACATTAATGCAAAGTCGATGTGGAAAGTGAAATTTCTGCAAACTTTGAAAATCTTATTTTTAAATTATCTTTGTTACTTTTTTCTTTTCTCGTGGTATGCTTATGCGTATTGCCTGGTAGCCACATACCCTCCTAATATTGGAAAGACAAAACTATTACCAACTGCAAATTTCTTTACGAGTACTCTACTAAAAGTTTCGTTATTTTCAAAAGTTAGAACATCTTTGCTTTGATAAGTTTCAGAGCATTCTACACAGAATTCATTAATAGGATCGGAAAGTCAAAAGTGTGGACATTCTAATTTGTTTTTACAATGCAAATACACGAGAGTTAGAAACTCTATTGTGAGATAGGCATCTGATATCTCAAACACTTTACGCAGAATCCCACAAAAATAAAGATAAAGGCGAAGAATAGCACGGTTTTTCAGAAAATCTACCCCTTTTTGTACTGTGGCAATTTATTTCAATTACACAATTTCAGATAATGCGGACTATGAGCCTGATGCAGCTGAGATTGGTGGTAAGCAGTTTCTTTGTTTAGTGCTCTGGAATTTGTTACCGATACAAAACTTTTATTGCTATTTGTTGGATTCCTCTTCTGTTGTAAATTTATTGCTTTTTAGATTAAGTAACTAAAGATGACATTGTGGAAAACATTGCTCTTTATTATTAAAGAGTAATATATGGTAGGTAACAAAATCAGAATCAAAGTGTCACGCATAATAATTTTGGGTCATAAAAGCACATTCAACAAAGTATACTGCAACTTCAAATTTTTTTGCAGAACGTTTAGCTCGAGGAATATGGAAGTTAAGTATGCGAACATTAGAAGGCTCCTGTTATGTACAGATTTACAGTCAAAGTGGCATTGAGTTGTATACCAAGTTTACTACGAACGTTCATGATGATTTCGGTGAAGCACAGCCAATTACCAATGCTGGTGATTTATAAAACCTGTTGAGCCAAAGTCTTAATTAAGTGCAAAAAACTTTTAGTTACTGAAATGTACACATAGCTGTTTAGAGAACCTTTGATTCTAATAACTTTACTATTTCTTTGAATCACTCTTATTTATTTTTTTAAAAACTGAAGCTATGCTTTACCATAAAGTTTCTTACCATTAGCTAAAGCTGAGTCATATTACTGAAAAAGGGTCTTTGTTTTATTTTTTGAAACATACCTTAAAAACAACTTTTATTAACTGATCTTATAACCAAAAAGTTAAATTAATACTTTGACTGAAACTTTTACAGACGACAACAGATTTGTTGCACACGTTACCAACCAATTGTCGACATCCACCGGTAATGCTGGAGAATTAAAATATGCTCACTTGTATCAAGAAAATCTGAAAATCATTCAAGCTCAAGTAAATTTATTTAAAATTGTTCAAAGTTTTTCTCCAAAACCATCATGTACGATATTGGTGTTTTTTCGGAAATTAATAATAAATAAAAAATTTGCAATTTCTAATAAGTTTACGCATTATTAGCAGATGATGTAAAACAAAATTAACTATATCAATAGCAACAGTAATAATAACAGTAACGATAACGATAAGAATGACAGTAACAACAGTGACAAGAACATTAATATAGTAGCATTGGTAATAATGATAATGGTGACAATAAAATCAAAATTAGTATAAAAATAGTAATACAAATACAGTAGAAAACAAGCAGCTGACTTGCTAATGTTAAATAATAGTAATTTGTAGACCTACAGTCGTCGAGATCAAGACAAATGTTCTTATGAGTTTATTTCAACCAGTTTCAAGTGTCCAGCAGACAACTTCCTATCTATGGTAAACTTTTAGTGAAATATATTAACAGACAAATTTAAATTATTGTTTAGACGGTGCTTCAACAAGGTTTTATTCTGAAATCTTCTACAATTCCCAAGAATAATTTAAAACATATAATTACTTTGTTGTTTATTACAGACGTTATAGAAGTTCTCGCCGCTTTGCTAAATTTTTTTGTTACCTTCGAGTGCTAGACAGCTCCCTTCTTATCTGGAAAAAACTTTTAATTTTTTTATTACTGTCAAATATAAACGCTTTATAGTGTTTTACGCTCTGTTGAATGGTAACTCAAAAAATTAAACAGGAAACTGGTCAAGCCAAATCAGCAGAAAACAATCTGTATTGCAGCTCCTTATTCAAAAATAGTTACCAGATATAACACCTTTATAAATGCTACTGAGTATCGTGCCACCAAATTTCGTTTGGAAAATTTTTTAGGTCTTAAAGCCAGATATGTGTTCTATATAATTTATTGTCTATAAAACGTCTTAAATGTTCTGATTTTTAGTCATCTGGAATCGATCGTTTTGGTTATCTGTATCAAAGAATTCAGCCGGTTGCATGCTACAGTGGTGCGGTGGCAGAAGACTGTATTAATGGTGTTTACCACAATGGTCGTTGTATCTGTGAACCGTACTATTCCGGTGACTTCTGCACAATTCCATCTTGCCAACATGGTACCCTGGACTCTGTTCTACAACACTGTACCTGTTCTGATGAATACACTGGTCCGGTCTGCAACACAGGCGAGCATTAAGAAATTCTAATTTAGTTGAAATTAGATGAGGAAACTGTGAAAATTTTGCTTTCGATCTGGATTGTGTAAATCTCTGCAATTTTTCAGCAGTTTGCAACCGTCAGACTACCTCTGCCAATCGCAATCCAGCACCTGGCAACAGAACATTTGTACTTTTACTGGATGGTTCAAAAACAGGAAGGATGGGCACATTAGCAAAAGAGTAATTCTTTTAATTATGCCATATCCTAAATTTTAACAAGCTTTGAAGCAAAGCTTTTATCTTTAAATCAAGTATGAGAAAGTCGTTTGTGCATGAAGCATCGTCTCGCTGTTTTAGAAGGCAAAATTTCATGATTGAATTGGCCACGACTCTAATATATAAATCAGTCTTTAGCAGAAGTCGACAGTCGCGCGTTTTAAATCTATTTTATTTGTTCTTGCAGACTTAAAGCAGATCTTGAAGCTGTTCTTAAAAAAGCATCAACTATAAATGAAAACTGGTTTACACATTT